CGAAGAGTCCTTTCGGTGAATTAGCTTCGGCGAAGTGGGTTTCGACGAAACGGATTCGGCGAAACGTCCGGATACCAGGTCTCATTCATTTACTACTTCAAAATCACTAATAAAAAAAATTTATGTGAGACGTTATAATGATGATCTATTATTATATCCTGATAAAGCACTTCGATGCCTTTTGTTATATACTCGATCATAAAGAGACAATCAAAAGAAACAAGAAGCCTTATTTTTAATAACTAGACCACCTCATATTCCAGCTGCCACTGATATAATACAGGATGGATCAAAACTGTGATTAAAATGTCTTCATCTTCATTATTAGCAAAGGATATGCGCTCTCTATTAGCTTTTTTTCTTGCAAAATGCCAGTGGTAATATATCAACGATTTTAGCTCTAAGTAACTAGTCCAGTAATACAACATATTAACATTTTTATCAGTGGGGAATCAAGTTAATATTAGAACAAAATCAGTTGTCAAAGATAATTTTAGATAGTGCCACCACACATAACTAATAACAGTGCTTTAACAGTCAGTGTGTTGAATTAGTTTACTCACAGTAGCACATGATTCTATTGTCCCAAAGTTATGATATTAATTTTGACAAATGTACGAATATATGAAATAAATTTGTAAATTAATGAATAACAAGGGACAATGAAATCACGTTCCCTCCCTTATAACTTTAATTTACCCACCTGAATAATTGGCAAAACGACCTAAGTAAACAAATAAGGATGATACTGATATATATAGCACATGATATTATTATGTAATCATTGTTATAATGCATTTATTGTAATACTTTGTTAAACTTGCTGGAAGTAAATAAAGGCCGGTCAGCACGTGATTTCATTGTCCCTTGTTATTCATTAATTTACAATTTATTTCATATATTCATAAATTTTTGACAAAAAAGTGGATTTCCCCCTTTTCTACTGACCGCCTCCATATATTGGAGCGAATTTTAGTTTCATAGTCCGATTTCCTATCAAAAAAAAGACAAATTTATTAGTATTTTTATTTATTATTATATAATTTAAAAATTATGGATCAAATGGATAAAATTATTTTTTTACTTTTCAGGATATTTTATGAATAACAACCCTAATCGATCAGAGGTAAGTATATTGAAGGGCGTAAAAAATGTTCTTTAAAAAAATTACAACAACTAAAATAAAAGTAATTTACCTTAGATATGTTTATAATGGACCAGAATCTTTAAAACTTGGATCGATCGGAGTTAAGCCTATGGAAGACGCGGAAATGTTTAATATTATTTTAAAAATTACAATAACTAAAGTAACTTAACTTTAGGATATATTTATGATGGACCGGATTCTTCAAACCTGGATTGATCGGAGACAAGCCTATATAAGGGTATAGAAATATTAATTAATTTTAAAAAATGCTACTTTCTTTGGATTTTGGCAAGGTTTCGGCGTGGACGCGTGGTGCAGTGCAGTGGTGCGGTGGTTAACACTTTCAGTTTGGCTAATATTGCTATAGGTTTCGGCGCAACTGACGTTCGAAATCTTCGTTTTTTTTTTAGGTTACAGCGTGGTGGGGCTTGGGTTTGGTGCGGATAATATAAAAAAAAAAAGAAGTTTTTTTTTAATATATGGGAACCCCACAGCAAAAGGTGGCTTCGGGTCGATCACGTGATTTTTGAGATTTTGTGATAACCATATACTTACCAATCTAACCTTTCGGATTTATCACTTTTCCATATATAATATAATAGTAAAATCGGCGTAAATATAGTTTTTTTTAATGCCTTTTCGTAATAATTAATTTTTTACAAAATATTACACAAACTTTATTGAACTTAAGTATTATAAAATTTCATGATTTAAATAAAAATAAATATATTTTTTAAAAGCTAATGTTCTCAATTATTTACTTGCAAATTTTGTTTTAGGTTATAAAGACCGTATTTGAAAAAAAAGTCTTTTTTTTACGATGATCGTCAAAATCGTTACATGATTTTCTCGAAATCACGTGATTCGCCAGAAGCCACCTTTTGCTGTGGGGGTCCCCATATATTTTTTTCATCGTGTGGACTGTTGAACTGATTGAGCTGATAAAAAAAAAAAAATTGGATTGTCCGGGACATAAAAAATGTCCCGACGATTTCCAAAATTAGCGCTTGACAACGAACAATGACGGACATTTATCAAACGCAAACAACGTTGTCCCATGAAAATCCGCGGACATCTCAAATTGTCTATGACAACACGGATCGGAATCTGCCGACCTAAAAATCCGACTATGAAAATTTTGGAGTAGATCAGGCGCAGGCCGCGCAATTTAATCCAAATATAACACGCGAATTTTTTTTTTTAAAATTAAAGTTTCTAATTTAATTTTCGGAATGATATTTTTATTGAATTCTTTTATTTTAATAATTTTAATTTTTAAACTATATTTATTTTAATTGATTTTTTTTAATTTATTGATTTTTTTCCGTGTACTCTTTTTTAATTCTACCTAACCAAAAAATTGCGAATAACCGCGGGTACTAATATATAATTTTTTTCTTTTTTTTAATAATTTTAATTTGCATATTTACAGTATATCCCCCGTTTTTTTAATTTAATTATTTTTATTTTATTTTCGGATTTTAATCTAATTAGGGTGTTCTCAAGCACTAAACACAATGGATCGATCGAATATCGAACCTTAGAGTCGAATCTTGAGAAACGATAATCGCGATTAAATCGAATCCCTTATTTCAGTGATATTGAAAAGAAGAAATATGCTGTGATATTAAACGAGAATAACAACAATGAATATATAGAGTTGCTTGTTGTTAATTCTATTATATAGCTCGATTTGCTTCGTTATCATGTTTAAGTGATAATAAGAACCTGATAGTTGTTTTTCAAAAATATAGAAAAATTATATAATTTTTTTTTTTTTGAAACCTTTGCAATAAAACCTGAAAATCATATAAAGCAAATTTGCTTTTTTTCACTTTAATGAAAATGAGCGACAGTAATTAGCCATTAATTACCGGCTACGTTTGCGCCTGTAATCTTTCTTGTTACTGTCACATATATTTGTACTTTTTTTTAAAAAAATATTGAACTTCTTCAAGCATATATCTTATCGACTTTCATTTGTAAAATCTAACCCAGAGAACAAACTTGTTTGACGATAAAATCACGAAGACTAAATAAAAAAGCGCTGTCTATTTATTTGATAATAATAATTTATTAAACAATTTTTTTTTAATTTTAGAATTTTATAGCAAGTAGTTGAACTGAACATTTATTATTACGAACCTTCAAACAAAGGAAAGCAATAAAATAAAATAAAAAATTTAAAAAGTCTTTACCGCAGCATATCGAATTAATATTTTGTAAAAAAAGATCTCTACCTCGGATTGAAATAAAACTTTTTCAATATACTAATGGTTAATATTAGAATTATCGGTATCTTTCAAAAAAATTTTAATTATAAAATGTACAATTGCCCTGCATTTCGTATTACAAATTCTTCGAATAAAAAATTCGGATGATCCCGAATCACAAAAAATTCAGGGTATTGTATGATCGTTTAAGATCGACGTTGTAAAATTGATTTCTAATTCGGAATAAATTCGGATGATTCGAATTAAATTTCATGTTACATTAAAATTTATAATGATTCTCACCTAAATTATTACGAATCATACATTTAGTCTAAATTAGAATTTTCGTAATGTAGATTAAAACGTTATTATGTATTAATTTTAATAAATAATATAAAAGAAAAAAAAAAATTGAAAATTAATACGAGCACGACTACTTGGATTGCGATATGGGAGTCAAGAGAGATCCTAACCTATTATTAAATTATTTCTAAAATAAAAGAATAAATTTAGTTTCAGATAGAATGACACCAGAGAACAAAGATACATTGAGATAAAATCAACATTTAAGAAATCAATTATTCAAATAAGTATATTCTATGCCAAACTCGAAAAGTATAAATAAACGTTTATTTTTTTTAACAGAAACTTTTTTATATATTCAAATCCATTTATTTCAAAATGCAGAGTAAAACTTTAATTACATATCGAACATTGCCGTTTCTGATTTTAATCTTTATTTCATCGGTTAATGCTTGGATAACCATAGGTTTAAACTATAAATTATGCGATACCCCCTTTATTGATGATGCAATCCACATCAACGAGCACGACGCAAATTTTTACACCAATTCCACAAAGGTCAAGAAAATAGAATCCCAAAATCTAACCTCAGATGGGTTTGTACTCAATGTCACCATGTACGGGTGTACAGAAAATTGTGGTTGGTCATTTGAACTAAAAGTAGAGAATTCTACAAGGAAAGTTACGCCAGTTGCTAGTAAACAGCTTCCTTATACCTGTACGAACAACCCAACCACGTGGCGAGTTGATCTGAACACCACAGTTTTGAGTGTTGGAAATACTCCTAATCCAGACTATCCTTTTTCCTTTAACCTTGCTATGCATTATTGTAAAAATAATCACAACATAGACAACAACACCGAAATAACTAGCAAAGATGATAAAAATAATTTGAATTGTCTCAAAGATTATTCCAATCTAATGCATGATGATAAAACTATTTTTAATTTTGAAAATGATGGGGCTCGATGGCCATTTAGTGGACAAAAACCTGCTGCTTTATCTTTGGCTGCAACAGTTGATAATGCTTTTACCTTTTATCAGAACCACTACCTAGGAATCAAATATTCTCTCAGTAACATATCTGAAAATATCATTAATCACCTAACTGATTTTGCTCCATACTATAATCATGCACCGGATGAATCAATTTCTTATGATATTTCTGGCACTCTAAATTTATTAACTGATCATTTTAATTTGAATATTCTTAAAGTAGGAACAATGTTTGTTGACTCTGTTTCTGGTATGTATACTTGTTATCAAGTAGATGGAATAAATTTAAAAAAATATATATTCTTAAATTATTATTTTATTTTTTTTTAATAGATCAACCAACTTTTGTTGATAAAAATGGAGCCCCATTAAAACGAACTTTATCAACAACAGAATTTTACTTCAAAGTGCCTTTTGATGCCACTGGTGTATTAAAAAATACTTTTAAAACTTTTGGTCAAGATAGTGATTCTTATTTGAAAAGTATTATTGCAAAATTACCTAAATTGATTAGTGGAGCTATAGATGTATTCACCCCTTCATCTTCTTGGCTTGCAGCACCTTTTTATATGCCCATCGAATTAGTTAATTTTGGTAGTACAGATGTTAGGAACTTTGCATAACCTATCTTTAATGCAGCTGTGGCAAGCACCATCCTCAATCATTATGGCTTTACCTATTGCAACCACGTAGATCAAAATATCTGTGGTAAATGTTGTTTGGCAGAAGAGTATGTTAGTAAACTCGGGGCTAATTGCCTTATACGAGGTAGATTTAACTGTGGTCAGCTAGTACATTACAACAATTGTGTATTCGGTGGTGTTAATTATAAACCCGAAGTCATGGATGCAATTGAGAAATTTGTTAACTATGATAATTACTGGCACTATGATTACTGTAAAAATAATGTAAACGGTTGGAGTATAAATTCGGGAGATTGTGTAAATGAATCGACTGTCTGATGTGATGCATTTCCAGATGGTTGCAACTCTTACAATTGTGCCCCTTCAGCAGAAAATGGATTGCACAGCACTTCATGTAATAAAGGTTGCAAATAATAAATTAAATAAATAACTATCAAGTATTATCAATATAAAAAACCATTTAACGAATAAAAAGAATTGGTAGAATTAATATCATAAATTTTTCTTTTGTTGTTACTAATAACGAATTTCTTTCGCAAATAAAATATTTTTTGATATTACTTATTGAAATGATTTAATTTAATCAAATATCATTATTTATTTTTTTATTTTTTTTATTTTATTTTTTTTAAAACAATATATATCTATATATATAATTACTATAAATATTATTGAATTATTTCTATATTTCAAATTGAATAAATAACTAACCTGGAAGAATAAACTTACTACCAAAATGAATCTAAAAAGAAACCTGAAATTAAGGATGATAACGATCTGAACTGACCATTTAAAATTTAATAGGTTTAGCCAAATACAGACCCCGCCAAAATCTCTAAACGCTTTTTAGCTCAATATTAAAACTTAAAATTTTAAAGTTTATTAAAAAATTTATTAATTTATTTATTAATGTATGATATGTTACACATTTGGTACTAAATAATTAGTACTTGGTCAGGCCTCCATATGCTTCAATCACTGCCCAAATTTGCTGCGGCATACTATCGACCAAATTTTTGATAGTTTATATCAGAAAATTTTCCATGCCTTAATAACATGGTCGATTAAGTTGAGCAAGGTTGGAAGGCAAATTTTTTCTTCACTGATGATTATCTTGACTTCAGCTATAGAATCTCAATAAGATTGAGATCTAGACTTTGAGAGTGCTATGGATAGTGCTCCGTACGGGTCGGGTTAGGTCTGGTTTGAGGGGATGTTCGAACTCGACTCGAATATTCATGTAACCCGA